AATAAAATCCAATGAGAGCAAACTGTAATAATTTTAGTGGGGGCATCTTCATAAATTTTCAGTGTGAAACTTACGCACTCATTCAATATGATGCAAATTGATGGTCTCCAACTACATCTCATGTGATGAGCATTCATCAACAATGCACTTTCATAAAATATTCTTGAAGACGGTCGAGGTTTAGTTATCTTTGTAACGGTAAAATAAGTGTGTGAGTTTCTTGCCAAGTAAAAAATAAATAAAATATTATCATAACAATAATAAAAACAACTTTCCCCAATAGCACACCAATCGGTATCTCTCATCCCAAAGGAGAGGTTGAATGTTGGAGCCCTACTAAGACAATATTGAAGGTGTGTGTTTGCTTGAAATTTTGACAAAAAAATAAAAATAAAAATAAAACTTTCCCCAATAGCACAGACAACTCATAGTGATTATACAGTTATATAAAAATCAATGGCATTTGGGAACTTTATATACTAAATTTAAAGTATCTAGTAATGCCTTTGTCACCATCATGCTTGGTGACCTCTAAATTGGACCCACTCTCACAATCTTTACCTACCAATGAAAAAAAAAAAAAAAAACCCCTCTAAACTTTATGCAAATTGCCAATTCCAGAGTTTCACAAATGGGATTCACTTCAGCAGTGCAATTTTTCTTAAATGGAATCCCTAGTCTGGGATTGTGTGTGTGTGTGTGTGAGAGAGAGAGAGAGAGAGGGGGGGGCAAACCTGTCTGCATCAGCAGGACATCCATGTGAGAATTCAGAGCAGTCAGGACCACCATAGCAGGTGTTGCACTCACAAACTGGTTTTCCATCAACAACCAAACCATCCAAGTAGGCTCTTCCATGGCCTGAGCATGACACTGATGCCACTGCCTCAGATTCTGCTGCAGCTCCTTGGCTCCAACTCAGCTGCTGCTTCCACTTGCCACCCACATACAGATTTGTGATGAACAACACATTCAGAATCACAGAAAACACTAGAAACACAGAATTTTTGGAGGTTTGGGTTTTATCCATTTTAGATTCTCTCTATTACCAACCAGAAACAGCCTTTGTTTTTAGTACTTGAAGATACATAAAACAGAGCATAGTGTCACGGAGTGATTCCTAAGACGCTTGGAGGATGGAAGACACGCATGCTGGTTGGCAAAGAGCAGAGTTTGACTGGGAATGGTTCCAGGGAAGGGGCGTGCAGGATCACAGGATGGTACCTCTTCAGAGTTCAGGCAGGTCGACTCGGTTCAGTTCGAGGTGCTTGTCGCTGGTCGTGGACTTGACTATGAAGAAGGGAGTTGGCCATCCCTGCACAAACTGGTCGGGAGCTGGAGCCGTTCCCCTGACGAGGCCATGGCAGGCCGAAACCAGTCAGCATGTATCCTTGGGAGGGCAGGTCGTGGTGGCTGACCAGGGCGCTTGCGCGAGCTGAAGCAACGCCTTGGTGCCGCACGAGCCGTGCCGCTGCGCCAAATCTCTAGGCCCGTGACAAATGGTATCAGAGCAGGACTTGGGGTAAAGCACGGTGGGGTGCCCCCTTGTCGGTCCGGGAGGGGTCAGAGAATGAAGACAGTGCATTGAAGTTGCGTCGGTGTGGAGGAATCAATGCAGTTGGGGGGGGAGCCTCCATCTCCCCAGGAAGAGGCGTCCGTTGAAGTTGCGCTTTGAAGGGCCGGAGGGCCGCGCGCACCAAAGTTCGTGCTTAGTCCTTGGGTGATGCAAACCATGGTGAAGGGCGAGCATCAAGTCGGCAGAAGCCATTGCTTGCTCGGGATGCCGCGGAGGCGGCATAACGGAGAAGAGTCACGTCCTTGAGGAGTGGACGTCCCCTTGGTCCGAGGCCTATCATTGGGCGAGTGCAGTGCAGGGAGCTGCACAAGGAAGCGATGGTGGGAAGGCGAGCATACCGCATGGAAGCAGACTTTGGAAGGGAGTGGACGCAGTAGTGAAGCGCCGCACTGCGACGAGGACGTCGCAGGATTTGGGTGGGGGAGAATGTCACGGAGTGATTCCTAAGACGCTTGGAGGATGGAAGACACGCATGCTGGTTGGCAAAGAGCAGAGTTTGATTGGGAATGGTTCCAGGGAAGGGGCGTACAGGATCACAGGATGGTACCTCTTCAGAGTTCAGGCAGGTCGACTCGGTTCAGTTCGAGGTGCTTGTCGCTGGTCGTGGACTTGACTATGAAGAAGGGAGTTGGCCATCCCTGCACAAACTGGTCGGGAGCTGGAGCCGTTCCCCTGACGAGGCCATGGCAGGCCGAAACCAGTCAGCATGTATCCTTGGGAGGGCAGGTCGTGGTGACTGACCAGGGCGCTTGCGCGAGCTGAAGCAACGCCTTGGTGCCACACGGGCCGTGCCGCTGCGCCAAATCTCTAGGCCCGTGACAAATAGTCACGAAGTGATTCCTAAGACGCTTGGAGGATGGAAGACACGCATGCTGGTTGGCAAAGAGCAGAGTTTGACTGGGAATGGTTCCAGGGAAGGGGCGTGCAGGAGCACAGGATGGTACCTCTTCAGAGTTCAGGCAGGTCGACTCGGTTCAGTTCGAGGTGCTTGTCGCTGGTCGTGGACTTGACTATGAAGAAGGGAGTTGGCCATCCCTGCACAAACTGGTCAGGAGCTGGAGCCGTTCCCCTGACGAGGCCATGGCAGGCCGAAACCAGTCAGCATGTATCCTTGGGAGGGCAGGTCGTGGTGGCTAACCAGGGCGCTTGCGCGAGCTGAAGCAACGCCTTGGTGCCGCACGGGCCGTGCCGCTGCGCCAAATCTCTAGGCCCGTGACAAATGGTATCAGAGCAGGACTTGGGGCAAAGCACGGTGGGGTGCCCCCTTGTCGGTCCGGGAGGGGTCAGAGAATGAAGACGGTGCATTGAAGTTGCGTCGATGAGGAGGAATCAATGCAGTTGGGGGGGGAGAGCCTCCATCTCCCCAGGAAGAAGCGTCCGTTGAAGTTGCGCATTGAAGGGCCGGAGGGCCGCGCGCACCAAAGTTCGTGCTTAGTCCTTGGGTGATGCAAACCATGGTGAAGGGCGAGCATCAAGTCGGCAGAAGGCCATTGCTTGCTCGGGATGTCGCGGAGGCGGCATGACGGAGAAGAGTCACGTCCTTGAGGAGTGGACGTCCCCTTGGTCTGAGGCCTATCATTGGGCGAGTGCAGTGCAGGGAGCTGCACAAGGAAGCGATGGTGGGAAGGCGAGCATACCGCATGGAGGCAGACTTTGGAAGGGAGTGGACGCAGTAGTGAAGCGCCGCACTGCGACGAGGACGTCGCAGGATTTGGGTGGGGGAGAATGTCACGAAGTGATTCCTAAGACGCTTGGAGGATGGAAGACACGCATGCTGGTTGGCAAAGAGCAGAGTTTGACTGGGAATGGTTCCAGGGAAGGGGCGTGCAGGAGCACAGGATGGTACCTCTTCAGAGTTCAGGCAGGTCGACTCGGTTCAGTTTGAGGTGCTTGTCGCTGGTCGTGGACTTGACTATGAAGAAGGGAGTTGGCCATCCCTGCACAAACTGGTCGGGAGCTGGAGCCGTTCCCCTGACGAGGCCATGGCAGGCCGAAACCAGTCAGCATGTATCCTTGGGAGGGCAGGTCGTGGTGGCTGACCAGGGCGCTTGCGCGAGCTGAAGCAACGCCTTGGTGCCGCACGGGCCGTGCCGCTGCGCCAAATCTCTAGGCCCGTGACAATAGGCTAATGGGTATCAGGAGATGTATTTTATGTTGGCTACCACTGACACGTGTCATTTGATGATTTGCCAGCCAGAATTGCACCCTTTTTTATTTTATTATTTATTTTTTTTCTAGCTTGTGGATGTTTGCTTTGTTCTGTTAATTTGTCAGCAGTTACATCGATGACTGGTTGTTTGGTCGATCAGTGCTGTAGCAGGATAGTTGTAAAGGCCTTAATCCACCTATTAAAGGGCTATGGATTCAGTATTAAACAATGTTTAGTTGAGAGCCCACCTTGAATTAATGGTCACTTTTATCTATATTGATAAAGTCAATGCCCTTTTTTCTTTTTTTTTTCTTTTTTTCTTTTTTTTTTGTTAGAGTTGAACAAGTCTAGTTGATAGCCCACCTAGAATTAATGGTCACTTTTATCTATATTAATAACGTCAATGTCGATTTTTTTTTTTTTTTTTTTTTTTTTTTTTGAGTTTAACAAGTCGAAGTTCAATGGCTCATTAATGACACATAATAGAAGAAAATGTAACATAAAACAAGAAAAACTAGATATTTCTTTACAAGGAAAATAAAGAAAGATGATTCTCCAAAGACATAAAGTAATGACAAGAAAAATACAGAAAATGATTGAAAATAGGTTCCTCCTGTCCTCCATATGAGTATCTCAAAATAATTTCCATACCCACACCATCTTCTATTTTTTGCCTTTTACTTTTATTTTTATTTTTTTTTCTCCTGTTAGATGAGGAGATTTGAAAGTAGTTAAATTGAATTTTGAGGATGGATAACATGAAATATGGAGAGAAGAATCTTAAATTTCATGGAAATCATGTGATTTCATATAATATCATGGAATTACATTTTTTATTATATTACACTTTTTTCTTTTCTTTTTTTCCTTCTCTTTTAAAGTAAAACACACTCAACTCGCAGAGAGTGTGTGTGTGTATATATATATGTGTTTTACATCGACAAAAAATACAGTCATTTACTCATGTGTAGACTTGAACCCTCAACGTCCTACGATAAAAAAGCAAACTTCTGATACACCACAGGTTAAATAATCAACCTTTCGTGCGTCCATTGTGTGCTCTGTACATGCTTGCTTGAGAGTACTTTCTTATGATTAGTCAATAATTGCACTTAGTAGCAATCTAAACATGTGTAATATCTCAATTTATTAACATCCACATGCCTTTATGGAAACGTTTTGCTTTCTTCTGCACATGTCAGTATGATGTCACAACATTTTGCTAACTGAAACAACATACAAGTGTAGATAATTAGATGAGATGAGACCTTGTAGCTACAATAAACCAGGTTAACAAACAACTTATTACATCAATTAAATCATAATTGTATGATCAACATATAATCAACATATGTTGATTATCATCATATTACATGATCTTCACACAATTTTAATATTGTCACGTTCCTGTCTATAACAAATATAATCAACACAATGTTGATTATACGATCTTCACATAATTTTAGTACCTCCTTCCTGCATTACTAGTTCTTTGATCCGCTGCAACAGTAAGTCGAAGTCATCTTGTCTCTTGATGAGGCTGAGGCGCACATACCGACTCTCAGCACCATATTGCTTACCATTGCGGCCAATTATACCGGCTGCTCCGAGGACTGAAGCACAATCTTCATCCTTTGGCCTCTCACATTTCAACCATGCATAAGCTGCAATGAGTATAAAGTTGTTAAAATCGAAATTTTGGCATATATATAAATAAATAAATAACTAGATAGAAATATTCAACATTTTATGTTATTTTTATTTATAAACTAAAATAATTTGATTCCAAATGAAAAAAGGAAATAACAACTCCAAATGTAAGTGAGATTACAAGTTACTTCCTCTCCTTCATTTTTGGATGGAGAATGAAAAGTAAGAGATTATAAAACTTCAATTTATGATTTTTTATTTTATTTTTTATTTTTTATTTTTTTGAGTTTTAATATGTTACTGAAATTGAATGTTACTTGATCATTCTAATACTAATTTAATTTTGAATTTTGTCACTATGAAATCCAATGCCAATCCTCTGTTTTAGTCCTGTCTGCCTTTCACTATAAACTATAAAGCTGTTCAAATTGGAAGTTTGGCATATAAAGGACTAGCTTGCTTATTATATATAGCATGCTTCTTTCAAGTAGTAAGTATTCAATTTCTCTAACACAGACACACACATATATACACACACACACACACACATACATATATCAACTAAATCTTATTTGGTTTCAAAAGAAAGAAAGAACCAGAAAAGAAAAAGGAATGCAAATTTCAAAGCCACCCCAACTCCAAATAGTAGCAAGATTACAAACTCATTCCTTTGTTCTCTTGACTACAAAAATGAAGTTACAGATAACAAAACTTCATTTTTCAGTGTATCAATTTCATTTTGAACCTTCAATATGTTAGTAATAAATGGTATTGAATCATTTTAGTACGAATTTCATTTTTAACTCATAACCTAAATTATGCAGTTGCTATTAACCCCAATGCCAATTACTCTGTTTTTGTCCTGCATTTGCATCGCAACAACTTTTATTGCCAATTTATCAGCATTTGAGATTTAGTTGAGTCAAGTGAGTGAAACTTAAAATGAGAATCACCTGGAGAAGGTCCTCTGACTTTTTGGTAGAAGGTGCAGTATTGAGGCAAAATTTCCTGGATAGAGAAGTGCCTTGACACCGACAAGGCCTTGCTCAAATTCTCCCATCGGTTCCTCATTGTTTCGTATCCAAAATCAAATATCTCCCTTCCTTTCCCTTCAAGAACTGCTTTTAGCAGCTTCAAAGCTCTCAACTGAGTGTCCCGCGAAACTCCAAATGAATTTTCACTAGTATACTCTAACATACTCTGGTACAAAGCCTCATCCTTTACCAATGCCCACCTAGAATAGGAATACCAATGTGAAAATATATATATATGTAATATGTGTATATTTATGAATGTGTGTTTGTGTGTGTGTGTCTTGTCAATTGAATGGCTTGGTTGTTACCCAAATCTTGCTCCTGCATGACCAGTGAGCTTAGAAAGTGTGAACATCATGAGATCTTCATCTGATGGGGCTGGTATTGCAGTGAAATGTGGCCAATAATACGCGTGATCGTGAATTGCTTTGGCGTTTGGGCCTTGAAGAACCGGCTTTTTCAACTGACCATCAGGATTGTTTGGTGAAGTTACAAACTCAATGACATTCATGCGGACATCTGAAGTGTTCTTCCACAAAGATGCATCTCCAAGAAATTCATAATCCACTGACCGGAAGAATGCTGTCTGCTCTTTATAGGCCTGTGAAATTTTATGTTCAAATTCACATTCCTCTAATGTAATTTACAAATTGAATGAAAACTCAAATTAGGTACTAGAACAACCGGATAAAAAGGGACCGAAGCTACAACTCCTGTAGGTGAGGATGAGTTGATAGTGGAAAGGGCATGGACTGCTGCATTAAGCAGTTGGGTTGAGCCGGTACCAAAAACAATGAATCTCCCGGCTGTAACTGCATTCTGAACGACGGAATGTAATCTCCGGATATGCTTCTCGAGCTCTTTTGAGATGTAAGTGTGGTCAGTGAATGCATAGCTCATTCTATGCCACCCTGCCACAACAACCGCGCTACTAGCTGCATTTTGCATCCAAAAGGGCTCCAAAAACAGTGGATCCCCACTGCAACAAACAATACATGACTCAAACTATAAGAATTGAAAATTTTAGGATGGAACTCCCAATAATCAACATAAAACTAATTTGGTCATATAGTTCTTCAAATACTATATTCATCAAATATACAAGTACTAACACAAATGCTGCAAACATAACATGTTTCTTCACATGCCCCTTAAAGTTTCTAGTCAATTCAATTTCTGAACACTTAATCTTGGTGTGGGTGTGCGTGTGTGTGTGTGTGTGTGTGTGTGAGAGAGAGAGAAATCATGATGCAAACTTTAAGAATTGAAAATTTTAGGATGGAACTCCCAATAATGAACATAAAACTAACTTGGGCAGAATGTTCTCCAAATACTAATTTACACATACAAGTTCTAATCATGATGAAAACTATAAGAATGGAAAATTTTAGGGATGGGACTGTCAATAATGAACATAAAACCAATTTGGTCATAAAGTTCTTCAAATACCAGAGTTTATAAATACACAAGTCCTAACACAAGTAAACATCTATTATAGTGCTACAAACATAACATGTTTCTTCACATGCCTCCTAAAACTTTTTAGTCAACTCAATTTCTGAACACTTAATCTTGATGCTCAATATGACGTTTTCCTAAAAAGGGTGCATAGATTCACACACACACACACACAGTCACAGAGAGAGAGAGAGAGAGAGAGAGAGAGAGAGAGAGGGAGCACATACCTACCTACATCTGCAGGGCATCCAGGTGAGAATTGTGAGCAATCAGAGCCTCCAAAGCATGTATTGCACTCACAAACTGGTTTCCCATAGAGAACCAAGCCATCCAAATAGGCTCTTCCATGGCCTGAGCATGAGAGTGATGCCACAGCTTCAGCTTCTGCTGCAGCTCTTCTGCTCCAACTCAGCTTCCACTTGGAAACAAAAAACAGATTAAACAACAAGAATATATTCAGAGTTATGGAGGACACCAAAAACACTGCACACTTGTAGTTCTCAATCTTAGAAGCCATGCTTTCAAACGCTAGAATAAAAAAAAGTATTGGTCCTTGAAGAATGTATGGTTCTCTTTCAATACATGTGCCTGTTAAGCCCTAGAGGTTCAAGAATATATTTTCATTTTTGCAAAGTGAATTTTGAATTGATTCTCTCATTTGTGTGTGTTTTTGTTGTGGTTTGGCTAATTAATAGTGTTTTTTAGGTGTACAAACTTGATTTTAGCTGTGTTCGATGACATAGAAAACACTTTTCGATGGTAGATAGTCAAAAAGTGGTTGGAAACTCAACTTTGATGCTTTTTAAATTTGTTCACTAGTGCGGGCAATTTATGAAGAAAATGTATGTACAGATGGAGTAAATTTATAGAATTGTTTTGATCAACTCAATACTGTACAACCTTGGGCACATTTTGTTTTATTAACCACATTCCTTAGTGTGAAACAAGAACTTTATTTAATGGAAATTGCCAGAAAAGAAAGGAAAATGAAAATTTTTGAATGCTTTAGAAGTTTGGTTAACAGAGAAAAAAAAAAAACTTTCTTATGAAATTTTACTACAAAAAACACAGTAATTTTTTTATTTCTTAAGAAAGTTTAATACAATAATCCATTTTTTTAATGGTAATTTTTCGGCCATTCAAACCATAAAATGGTAAGTTTTCTGCATGTCTTGAAATCTTTTCATGCTAAACAATAATTTTTCTTTCGAACACTAGTCTTTTTTTTACTCTCTCTTTCCACAATTAATTTCAAAATAGGGATACCCTTTGAGTTGTGGCAGAATTGTCTTTTGGCTTGGGTTGTGTCACATATCATCCATCAACGAAAACAGGGCCATGTGTGAATTTTTTTTTTTTTTTTTTTTACACGTTTTGACTGAATTTTTATTTTATATTGCAACTCTTTATATGAAGGTGTTAGGGTTTGCTTTGTTAAGTAAAATAAACTAAAAATTTGAAATATATATTTAAAAAAATTTTAAACCTCTCTATTCAGTATGGAAATTTTTTTTTATCAGAAATCATAATATATATTGTTTGGAGTATATAAATAAGACAAAGAGATTGACCTCAAGTTCACGCACATTAATTTTCATTTTGCAGTGGTTTGGAGGAGACTTTGAATGGAAATATCTTTTAGATTCTTCATCCATACACTCACAGATTCTGACAATTGACAGTGAAAGGACCTACAGGCCCACCTCTTTGATAGAGAAAATGATTCCTGGGCTCAAACCCATTGGTTGAGTGGGTTGATTGACATTCATGACAAAAGATCAAAATTAGAAAATTCAAAGTGGATAATTTTTTTTTTTTTTAACATATGTCTTTGCCTACAAATTTATTAGTGATTAATTTTTAAAAAATTATTGATTTATAGTGCTGACTAATCACTAATCGACACACAAATAAAAAATTTAATAAAATCATCATATTTATTTGAGTGTCACTCATATTTCGTTTAACATGCGTTTTGTTTTTGAACTGCTATCGTGTCAATTTTGACAACAAAAGTATGTTTAGTGTGGTCTTATTTTATTTTATATAATATTAAAACACTTCATAAATAGTGATTCAAAATTAAAATACCAAAAAATTGATTTTTTTTTTTTTTGGACAATTATTTATTTTCAAAATTATAACAATAGCGCAGCACGAGTCAAAAACAAAATACCTAAAATATCACTTCTCGACTTGTTTTCGATTTTGTTTTAAAATATTCCTACAACAAAAATACTGTTTTTGTTTTATTCAAAAATAAAACGTCCAAAATAAAAATGCCAAACGGGCCCTTATTACCAAAAGTAGTTAATGAGAAAGGGCCCTTATTACTAAAAGTAGTTAATGGGAAAGATTTTCTTCTTGTGCAAAGATATTTCCAAAGGGAGAGAATGACCTATCACTATCAATGTCAGCAAAGAATATGATGCAAGGAACTTTTATATACAATAAATAAGTGCCTATTGGTCACGTGTCAATTTGTGTTTGTACTCATTCATAATCTATTTTCTTGGCGCGTGGCAATGAGGAAAAAGAAAAACAATGCAAAATAAATTATTTTTTCTTATATCGTTACTGGAATAAGGAATAATTTTTTAATTTACATGCAATTTCTCCTTTTTTTTTTTTTTTTTTTTGTCGTAATCCTAAACCTTCACTGAATAACTTGAATTTCTCATCAAGTTGGCCCATTAAATTTATTACATGCGTAGGTATAATATTTAAAACAATTACTTTGTGCCCCATTTGAATTTTTTTTCCCTCAAAAACAGCCTTGGAAATGAATTTATTTTTATACATATAAGCCATATAATTTATGAATTATTATTTTGTACCGCCTGAACCTAAATCCTGACTCTGTCCCTGTTTGAGTAGTACAAAATGCATACTTAACTTAACAATAATCACTTTTTACAAAATAGTTCTCCCTCTCTCTCACTCAAAATACATGTTTATGTTGATATTTGTGACTATCAACGTGGACAACTATTTTGAGAGTGAGTACCAAAATGATCAACTTTTCTTTTCAATACTCCATGCAAGTACTCAGTTCTAAAAAGATTTTCTTTAAGATTTGATTTTTTTTTTTTTTTTTTTTTTTTTGCACCACAGACCATATTAAAATATTGGTTGCTTTTAAGTAAGATTAAGAACAAGTAAAAATAAGTTAATTTTATTTATTATTAGGGTAAAATGCAAAAAACTCCTCCTGAACTTTACTCTCTCACCCTAAAAACCCCCCTGAACTATTTTTTCTACAATAAACCTCCTGAACTATCAATTTTTTGCAAAAAGTACCCAATGATGAAGTTCCGTTTGATTTCTCTGGCCAATTGGGCGCGTGATGCACACATGCCAGAAATATATCTTTAAAATGACAAAGCTACCCTTATACTATTAAATGTATAAAATTAAAATTGAAAAATAAAAAAAATTCCTAAATTAAAACCAAACTCTATCTGAATTTCACCACCGCCCCTCAGCCACATTTTCTCTCCCAATATCGCCGTCGCGACCTCGTCACCACTGTGAACCTGCTGTTGCCGCTACCGCCACCGCTGCGAACTTGCCTGCAGCGCGCATCTCTATCTCCGGTGTCGTGCTCTCACCTTAAATCTCGACCAAGACACCGTTGCTTCAGCTATGGTTGGAATATCACCAAGTAGCAGTCAAGTACGAAGTTGATGGCGATGGCGATAACTGTGAGAATATTGTGATGGTGTTTCGACGACGACAAGACCCACCGACGTGACGTCTGTTGCAGCGGGAAGTTTTATTTATAATATGGGTTTGGCCATTAGTTGAGAATTTTACAATTGGGCTTGGTGAGTTTGTTACTGTCGAAACGGCCTGTTGAGGAGTCAACGAAGATGGGAATTTTGCAATTGGGTTTGGTGAGTCTGTTAGTTCGGAATTGGATTGGAAGATGAGAGTAGAAGGGAAGATGAGTGAATACGAAAGAAGAGGCGACAATGCCGGGGAAGAAGATGATGTTGGGGTGGGAGGGGGTTTACCTAGCACCGACGATTTGACTCTTCTTTCCCTGAAATTGATACCCCAAAGCCATCTCTTTAATCATTCCATCTTGACAACCACCTTCGTTCCGTCACAACTTTCACTGAAAAGTGAACCCAATTTTTGGTGGAGAGGCTTAGTTTGACACGGTGGTGAAGAACAGAGCAATAATATGTATTTTATATGTAATACATATATATCTAATATATACAATATACTATATAGCAATGAGGGCTTGATGGCTTATGCAATTGATGGATGTTGAAGGCTTGGCTGGTGAGAACTTATGCATATACATAGTTCAATACAAGAGTGATGTATATATTGTACAAGAGTGATGCGTGTGTATATATATATATATACAAAGACGAGGATGCAAATTTACCCAGAGAGGAATTGGATTTTTGTTCTTCTTATTCTTTTTATTTCACTAAATATTTGGATCTTTTTTAATATCAAAATACAATCCCATTTATAATGATAGATGATTCAACCATTGAGGGTTTCAAATTGCAGAGCATCCCATTATCTCATAGTTGTTAAAGGCTCAAGGCACACAAAAGCGCAAATGCCTCCTGGAGCCTGAGGCGCAAGGCGCAAGGCGAGGCGCGCGCCCGACTGAAGCAAGGCGCACGTTGGAAAAAAAAAAAAACAAAACTCACCCAATAAGTATTAAAGATGCAATAATATATACAAAGATATAAAAGTCAACTAAATGAATTATTTAAGTTAAATATTCAACATAAAGATGCCAAAACTAATTAAATCAAGTACTTGAGTTCAAAACAGTGAATAATCAAACATATTAACATAAAGATGCGAAAGTCAACTAAGGAGAAGTATAAAATAAAACTAAAACAAACATAAACATCATTTCTTCCTAAGAAGACAACACCAATGAATCTAAATATCATCCTCGTCATCAATAAGCATAACATCATTTTGATCGTCACTAAATGATTCATAATTCTCAGGATCCTCTTCTATCTCATCTGAATCATCCTCATCCTCATCCTCATCCACAAGTCGAACTGAAGAACTTCCTGCTCCCTTTGTTGGTAACCGTGAACTAGAACTAGATTTTGATCTAGTAGACCGTTGCGGCCTGCTAGCCTCTCCAATACCAGCAAAATTAGCAACATCACCCCATGTCAAGGAATCATCTTCATAGACTAGATCATGTTCTACATCAGAATCATCCATCCTCCCCGTTAACCACTCGTTGCTCTCATCAATGTCATCGAGTAAAATGGGATCAAGAGTGTCACGCATATTATATCGACGCTTCAATGCTCTATTATATTTGATGAACACTAAATCATTCAAAGTTGTTTGAGCGAGCCTATTTCTTTTCTTGTTATGAAGCTGCAATAAATTCAACCTTAACTAATAAGTATAAAAAATTAAAATTTTAACTTTCAACAATTAAATTACAAACCTAGTTAGTAGATAGTATATACTTACATGCTCAAACACGCTCCAATTTCGTTCACAACCAGAAGAACTGCAAGTAAGGCTTAAAACCTTTATAGCAAACTTTTGGAGAAGTTTTGTTGACTTGCCATAAGCTTCCCACCAATTAGCTATTAAAAAAAATTAATAATGATGTTTAGCAACTTTAGCTTCATCTTTCTATCGACTCTATTGTCAAAATAATTTTAACACTTAGCTATACTAACTTAATATACTTTACCACTTTACCTGGTCCTCGTGTATTTCTCTGTCTA